ACCTTCCACCAGCCCAGGTTGCTCCAAGCCCCATCCAACCCAGCCTTGGACACTTCCAGGGATCCAGGGGCAGCCACAGTTTCTCTGGGAAACCCGTTCCAGCCCCTCCCCACCCTCCCAGAGGAGAATTCCTTCCCAATATCCCATCTAAACCAACTCTCTCTCGGTTTAAACCCATTCCCCCTTGTCCTGTCCCTCTATCCAGTCCCTCTCCAGCTCTCCTGGAGCTGCTTTAGGCCCTGGAAGGGGCTCTCAGGTCTCCCCAGAGCCTTCTCTTCTCCAGACTGAACACCCTCAGCTCTCCCAGCCCCGCTCCAGAGCAGGGGGGCTCCAGCCCAGGGATGCTCTGGACTTGCTCCAACAGGTCCAAGTCTTTGTTGTGTTGGGAGCCCAGAGCTGGGTGCAGAACTCCAGGTGGGGCCTCACCAGAGCAGAGCAGAAGGGTGGAATCCCCCCCTCACCCTGCTGCCCACAGTGGGAGGATGAGCCCAGGCCTCTCCATCCCAAACCACACAGAACCACAGCTCAGGTGCTAAGCTGGGCTTAAAAAAAAAACCCACCTGAAATATTTCAAATATGAAAAAAAAAAATCTAATTTTAGAAAGAAAAAAAAAATAAATTCAGAATTTCTGCCAAAACTGGAGCCTTCCTCAGCTTTCTGCTCTCCTGCTGATTTGGTCTCGTTAAAACCAATCGCTCGACTTCCTCTGCCAGGATCTGAAATTAAGACCCTATTCTGCCTCTGCTAATTACCCTCCAAGATCCCAGATTGTATACCAGGAAATCTATTCCCCTTGGGCTATTAAGGAAGCTTTACTCCCCCACTGATCCAAGTTAATGATCCTCTTCCCTCCCCAGGATTTTGGTTCAAGGCCCTGAGGCTGGAATTGTACAAACCCACCTTTCTGTGCTGGGGTATTTTGGCACTCCCTGCAGGGAAGTGCCCCAGGTGGGAGCTGCCTGTGCCCAGACACTCCCTTTGTGCTCCCTCCAAACTCCCAGGGGCTCTAATTCTCCCAGGGGGGGAATTCGGGGGGGTGGGAGAAGTGCAGGACAGGGCAAACCAAAGGAGCCTCTCCCAGCCCCAGAGCCCAGGGAACACTGGCTGGAGAAAGGGCAGCACCACCAAAACCACACTGGATCAAGAGGCTGGAGCAACTCCTGCCTCCCAGCTGACTGGGAATTCCAGGAATCCCCAGTTCTGGAAAACCCTGAGAGCCTGGAGGGGAAGAACGAGGGCGGGAGAGGGAGGCTGTGGCCAGGCCTGTCCCCAGAGGAGCCTGTGGGACCCTGGTAGGTCTATCCCAGCAATCCCAGGTCTATCCAGAGTCTATCCCAGCAATCCACATTTCCCTGCCAGCTCCCAGCAATTCCATTTCCAGGCTCCAGAGGCAGATCACAGCCACTCCAGCCCTTCCTGTCACCAATGGACACTCTGATTTCCAGCTGCTCTGAGAAGACCCCCAGAGCCACTGGTTTTCCACAGAGCTCTCCCTTCTTTGGGATGTTCCACTCATTGTTTTCAAGCATCAGTGGGATGAAACAAGCTGGATCAGCACCCCCAGTGTCCACCAAAGCAGAGCTGGGTTATCCATGGAATCTCCTCAGCCCACCAGGATGGTACCTCTGCACAGAGCCAGTCTCCTTGGGAGCCTCTTCCTATTTGAATGCATCCCACCCCAGTGTCACCAGGAAAAGTGGAGCCCTGTGTTCCTGCAAGGCTCACCCCGACTCCTCTCAGAACACCAAGGGAATATTCCACTGGGGAACCCCTCCCAGCAGCCATGGACACAACACACAGAGCAGCAGGGAGCTGAACCAGCTCCAGACCTCTCACCTTGGTCATGTCGTGGGGATCAGGCACAACAAACATTCCTGGGGGTGGTTCCTTGTAAATGGACATGATATCCCTGAGGAGAGGAAAGAGGAATTAGTCAAGGTGTCCCTCGGTGGCTCTGGGTGACAAACCCCTGCACAGGTGCCAAGGGACAGACTTTGAAGGTGGAAACTTGTCATTTGTAAGGAGACAGACGGTTTTCCCTTGGCTCTGACAGTTTTCTGGATGAGTTCCTTCAATTTATCCCCAAAAATCACTGAGGCATTTCAGGAGCAGCAATCAATGAACCAGCACACCTTGATTAACTTGTGTTTTACCCCAGATCACCTCCAGCACATCAAACTCCAGCCAGAAATCCCCCCCAGGGAGCTGTTTTCGAGTCCTGTGAGGTGAGGTTTGTTATTTAAGGGATAACCTCTCCCTCCTGAGGTTTTCCCTCTTCACACCCAGATCATTTCCAGGATCTCTTTCTGTGTTCACTCATTTGTTTTCCAAACCATGACTCAACCACTTCTGGGAATGTTTTGCTCTGAGCCATTTGGGGTTAATGGATCAGGTAGAAGGTCCCAGAGCAGTCAGGGTGCAACACACCCCCCCAAGCTGATCCCAACAGCCTCCCTTCTCCAAGAACTCAGCCCAAAATGAACCAGAACCCAACAAATCACCTACAACCCCGTGCAGCTGACAGACAAACTGCTGAATTCCATCACCCAGACCCTCTCTCCTGTAATCAGAGCTGTGCTGAGCTTCAGGACAAGCTCCCACTCGACCTTCCTTCCCATTTGGGAAGGGACCAGAGCTCGGGGAGGTTTCAAGGTGAGGAGGGTGAGAGCAGCAGGAGAAGCCTCTCCCCTCCCTGCCTGCTCTGGGTTGGAAACTGCCCAAAAATCTGGAGCCATCTTTGGGAGACATTATCCAAGCTCCAGAACAAGGATGAGCAAGAGCCTGGCAGGCAGCAATTCCTGCTCTGAGGGAAGAGGAAGGACTTGTTGAATCAGCGCCAGCGTTTCCAACAACACCAGACCTTCCTGCTCCTTCTGGCAAAGGGGATCCACAGGTTGATCCAGGGGATCCCTGGCAGGGTCAGGGCAGCCCCACGGGTGGGCACTGGCAGGAAGGAGGAGGGTGAAGGGCAGGTTTGCTGTGAATATTTTAACTTGGCCACCAGGGAACCAAAAAATCTATTCCCCTCCCAAAAGTAACGGCACCTCCCAGGAGCTGCCAGGGATCCCGAGGGCAGGACTGGGAGCTCTGCTGCCAAACCCCCCAGGGCAGCTGACAGAGACCCCAAGGGGTGGCACAGAGGGACCCCCGGGCTGGCAGGGGTGAGACCCACACAATCCCAAACACCTGGGAGAGGAGATTCCAGGCCAGGAATCCCGGGAGGTCCAAGGCCAAGTTGGACGGGGCTTGGAGCAACCTGGGAGAGTGGAAGGTGTCCCTGCCCATGGCAGGGGGTGGCACTGGATGGGCTTTAAGGTCCCTTCCAACCCAACCCCGTGTGGGATTCTGTGATTCCAGGGCATGGTCGGGACTGGAGTGTGTGCCCTGGAGAGCCCTGGGACACAGGGACGGACCCGGGTCTGTTCCCAGGGAAACCCTGGGACACAAGGAGGGACCGGGACTTGTCCTCAGGATAGCCCTGGGACACAAAGAAAGAACCAGGGCTTGTCCTCAGGATAGCCCTGGGACACAGGGAAAGAACCAGGGCTTGTCCTCAGGA